CAGATCTTTGTGTGGACATACATTTTCATTTCTCCTGGCTCTTAGTTTACCATTCATTTTTTCCCATCCATTTACTTTCAACGCATTTGTGTCTTTATAGTTAAAGCATATATATTGTTTATAGACAGCATATAACTGGGTTTTTTCCCATACTGGAATTCAAACTCAATATCTGAGGCTTTCACCTGTCAGCTGGTGCTCTACCACCTGAGCCATGCCTTTAACCTCTTGGCCTTTTTTATCCACTCTAATAACCTCTGGTTTTATTCATGACATTTCCCTTAAGTATTGATGGTTATCTGAATTAGGGAAGGAAAAGGGAACAACAGAATGGTGAGACAAAGGACAAGGAGGGAACCAATGCAACAGTGGTATTCACAAAACAGTATGTTGGAAATGATCTGTACAATTGGGGGGGGGAGAGAGAGGGGATCTGGGGGTACTGGAGGTGACTGGAGGGGAGGGAAAGTAGGAGAAAAATGAAGGAAGGTAACAAGTTTGACCAGAAATATACTTATTACCTCACTTATGTAACTGTAATCCCTCTGTATATCACCTTGATGAGAGAGAGAGAGAGAGAGAGAGAGAGGGAGGGAGGGAGGGAGGGAGGGAGGGAGGAGGAGAGGGAGAGGGAGAGGGAGAGGGAGAGGGGGGAGTTCAGAGAAGGATGTTACAGAATGTGACCACAGGGAGGCAGGGTAAGTCTAAAAATGGAATGTGAATGTAACTTGCCTCTATAGTTGCAGTGATAGAGGCCTTTCTTCAGCTTTGTAATGCAGCTTCACTCCTGTCACCCTGATGTCAGCAGGACCAATGTTTAGGACCTACTGTGCCCTCTCTTTGGCCCATATGGGAGTTGCACTTCATCTGGGAAGGAAAAAGTTTCCTCCTGAATCTCAGGTTTAGCACATTAAGTTGTATTTTCAGATTTTCAATAATAGGTGCTGCTGTTCTTTGGTACAGTAAAGATGAGGGAAAAAAGTAGAGGCCAAGAGAAATGACAGGGAGAAACAAGTTTAAAAAAAACAATTCAGAGCTGGAAAGGTGGCTTAGTGGTAGAGTGCTTGCCTTGCATGCATGAGGCCCTGAGTTCAATTCCTCAATACCAAATAAGTAGAAAAAGCTGGAAGTGGTGCTGTGACTCAAGTAGTAGAGCGCTAGGTTTGAGCTGAAGTGCTGAGGGACAGTGACCACACCCAGAGTTCAGAGTTCAGGCCCCACAGCTGATGAAGGAAAGGAAGAAAGGAAGGAAGGAAGGAAGAAAGAAAGAGGGAGGGAAGGAAGGAAGGAAGGAAGGAAGGAAGGAAGGAAGGAAAAGATTCTTTGGCAGCTAGCATTTTGCTGACGAAGAGAAGGAAGAAACATCGCATGCCATTTTCAGATAATTATATCACATTTTAATACCTCATTTAAGTAGGAAGTAGGTTGTACTACTAGGAACTAGTACAACTATATCATACAAATAGTATTTTTCCTCATGGTAACTAGAAATAGGTTGTTAGTACAAAACCACTGTGCTGACAATTTCAAGGGATAATACAAATCCTGTTCTTTTCATGAAATCCCACTACTTTTCATAAGCTCAGTAAAAAGAGAAGAAGCCATTTCAGAGGAGATGAACTAACAAATGTGATTTAAATTGCCCAAATAAAGTCCACAGATACCCAAGGAATGCTAATTGAAGCCAGATAAGGGAGGATATAGTTAAGAAAAACTGGAAAAGTCAGAGCTGAGTTGAACACTGGAGGAGGGGCAGGCCATGGAGTGACAGAGTAGTAAAAGTTCGATGGAAGGAGGGAAGTAGGTCATATGACAAGGAGACTAACAAAGCTGAAGCAGAGGAGTTACAGGAAAAGTAATAAGAGCAATTGTTTACCTCAACAGGCCTTTGTTTAGCTTCAGCTCTGTGCAGCATACTGATCTAGGGAATAGAGAAGGTTCATGTGAAAAGAAATAATTCCTATACTTGTTGAGTTTTATTTAAATGAGAGAATAATATATTATTTGTACCTATACAACATTTACTGTGAAGTACATGTACTGCAAATGTAAACCAAAAGCTATGAAAATAGCCAGGCACTGGTGGCTCATACCTATATATAATCCAGCTACTCTGGAGGCTGAGATCTGAGCCATATCTGATGAGCTCTCTCCCCATCTAATGGATACATTCATCCTCTACACATGCCAATACTATCAATAAGGCTACAGACAAATCTTGTCATCCTCAATAGCCATCATCCTTTCTTAAGGGAGTTGTTTTTTCATAAGTCTCAATATGGGGTCTTATAGTTTTAACTATCTGGAGAAAGCTCTCTTTTTCTTATTTCCAGAGTCTTTAAAAAAAAAAAAAGATTACTATGGCTGGGAATGTGGCATAGTGGTAGAGTGCTTGCCTAGCATGCATGAAGCCCTGGGTTCGATTCCTCAGTACCACAAAGCGGAAAAAGCTGGAAGTGGCACTGTGGCTCAAATAGTAAAGTGCTAGCCTTGAGCAAAAGAAGCTCGGGGCAGTGAATTCAAGCACCAGGCCCTGAGTTCAAGCACCAGGACTGGCCAAAAAAAAACCCCAAAACTATATTTTTCCTCTCACATTGTTCATGGTAGTTTCTAATCTCCCACCCTTTATACTTATTTGTCATGTCCAAAATCTTGTCACTGGGACTCAGCAATTTTACCTTCTCTACTTTCTGATCTCCTTTACACAATTCCATTGTTTCAGTTCTGTAACTGTGCCCTTAAGCATTAATAACTGTTTTTGCTTCATGGAAAAGAAGCTGCCCAGACATTTCCATACTTCTTACTCAAGTCAAAACCAAATTCACAGACTTAGAAAAATTAAATTACTACTTGTTTTGGTAAAATAAAATTTACATTATTTTTAATTCTTTACATTTTTATTAGCATCAATTAGTTTTACAAGGCAATTTTACTTTGACATATTTATGTATGAATACAATGTACCTTGACTTGATCAGATTTACTCTTTCTTTCACTTCCCTCATCTTTCCTGCCCTTTTCCCCTAAGTATTCTAAACAATCTTTATTGTTCCATTTCACACAAGTAAAGTGTTTTGATTCTATTCACATTCCTACATTATTTTAAAAAGAATGTTTCACATGTAAGGAGTATTTCTTTAGCAATTACTTTGTATTTATCACTATAGTATTTGGGTAGGAATGATCCAGAATATTGCTTTTAGTAAAAACTTTAGTGCAATGCACTTAGTACACATTAATAATAATAGAAATTGAATATTGTTAGAAAATAGAATATTGAAACCTGTTGAAATTGTCTTAAGAAAGGGAAATGTGTAATAGTGATAGAGGTGGTGTGGTTGATCAGGATATATGTGTATAAATGTTACAGTGAAACCTCCCATGTGAGAATAATGTATGCTAATTTTAAAAGTAAAAAAGAATAAAGGATAAAAGCTTAGCTCAAATGGTAGAGCATCTGCCTAGCAAGTAGGAGACCTAGTTCAAACCCCAATCCTGGGGGTGGGGGAACTTAAGGACTCAGATTGTCATATATATAACAATGCAGCTGAATGAATAGCTAGTTACTGAATTAATCCTCATAACTATACATCAAAAATGTCAGTGTTCTAATCATCTAGCCAAAGAGGAAAATGCCGTTGATGCCCAGGTTCCGCTTCAGGATGAGAGCGTTTACTATGATGTGAAGGCCTCTAACTCTCCCCATATACCTCCCCTGTGTCAGAGCCAATACATTGGACTGAACCCCCTTTGTTTCTTGTGGAAAATTTGCCACCTCTACCAACGGGTCTCCAGGAATGTAGTTCTAGAAATAAACTTGCCTTTTCCCTGAGGTTCATGAGTCACACACAGAAGGTAATTCATTAGAGCAACTGGTTTTTCTTAGGCCCTTTGTAAAAGTATTTCAGCGAGCCCCTCACGATGAGGGATACTCCTCAGTTTCTTTCCAAATCTTGCCTCATTTCCTCTGTCTGTGCTTCCTCCATCACCTGATATCTGGCTTTCACTGTTATATGGAGTCTCAGACCCTAGTGCTAATGCTGCCTGAAGCCAGAACTACACCAGAAAAAGCCATCTTATCCCACCCAGCCAATACCTCTCATTTAGATTTGGGATCAAATCATACACCACCAGATCATCTCCATCCTGTTTGCTATCAACCACTAACTTTAGTTATAGTGGGAAATAGTGTCAGTGACTAACATTACAATCTGATCATAACATGGAAGCCAGTAGTTCATCTATTTTTTTCTTTTAAGTTTTTTTAGAACAGAAGTTATAATTAAATATATTTTCACTGTAACACAACATAAAGCTGAAGTCCTCTTGTTAACAAAGTATTTAATTTACATTACTATTCCCCTAGGTGAATTATGACACATTCAGTGTCCATCTACTAATTAACAACAGAATTACTTTTTATAAGAATTATTATTTGTTATTACACCAATGCTATACTGAATACCTTTGCATATGTCTCTTTGTGTGCTGTCCAAGAATGTCTCAAGGATAGATATCTACAGATGCAATTGATGAGTCAAAAAGAAGACACATTCATTCAAACTTATATTTTCAAACTTTGTAATTAAAAATTAAATGCTAGAGGGGGGAGATGGGAGGGCAGGGATGGTAAGGGGAAACAAAGGAGGAGGCAACAATGCTTGATAAGAAATGTACTCATTACCTTGCTCATATAATTGTAATACCTCTGTATGGTATTTTCACAATTTAAAAAAAAAACTTGAAAAAAATTTAAATTAGGGGCTGGGAAGGTAGCTCAGTGGTAGAGTGCTTGCCTTGCATGCATGAGGCCCTGGGTTCGATTCCTCTGCACCACATAAGCAGAAAAGGCCAGAAGTGGTGCTGTTGCTCAAGTGGTAGAGTGCTAGCCTTGAGCTGAAGAGCTGAGGGACAGTGCCCAGGCCCAGAGCTCAGGCCCCATAACCGATAAAAAAAAAAAATTAAAATTAAATACTTAACTATTTTCCTTTCTTTTGCAGAGAATTTCATCCTGGGAACTGACATTGACCTTCAGACTATAGACAATGATGTTGTCGACATGGAGATTTTCTTCAAAGCCTGGCTACATAATAGTGAAACAGACCAAGAACACATCCACCTTCTTCTTCCTTCACAGACTTTCGGCAATATTTCTAGAGCTGGCGATAATCCAAGTATACAAAAGATATATTATGTAAACTACGAATATCTTTGTCTAGGATTAGGACTCTAGATTGGTGAATCTAATTGGTGAATTTTTTTAGCCTAGATATTGAATGAGACTGTCCAGTATTAATATAATGTATAAGGAGAAAGTTCCCTAATTAAACCCTGCCATTAGGAGCCAATTCATTTAGAGGCAAAGTCTTAGACATTTCAATGATATGGCACAGCTACACAATTTAAGAACCCAGTGAATCATATATTTTTCTCAGTGTTCTCATCTTAATATGGTAGATATCAGCAATATCAATGTTGCCTATGGCCAGGTTTGGGGGAGGTCTTTTTTGGATAGGTTTCTTTCAAAGATTCCTTAAATTGCTGGGTTCTAGTAGCTCATGTATGTAATTCTAGCTACTCAGGAGGCTGAGATCTGAGGATCCTGGTTTTTTTTCTTTTCTTTTCTTTTCTTTTTTTGTCAGTCGTGGGACTTGAACTCTGAGCTTGGGCGCTGTCCCTACACTCTTCAGCTCAAGGCGAGCGCTCTACCGCTTGAGCCACAGCACCACTTCCGATTTTCTAGTTGTTAATTGGAGATAAATGTCTCACAGACTTTTCTGCCCAGGCTGGCTTTGAACCATGATCCTCAGATCTCAGCCTCCTCAGTAACTAGGATTACAGGCGTGTGCCACCAGTACCTGGCTTGAAATTATTCATTTTTAAACCTACCATCAAATACTAGCCTTCTCACAAGTACTTGACATCTGTCTATTTGCAAGTTTGCCATCAGTATTCAAATGAGATATTTTATTGAAAAAAGTATTCATATATTTTATTGGGAAAATCTTACAATATCAAGAATTAAAGCACAGTGTTACTGTTACACAGTCCAAGCACCCTTCAGAACTATTGTCTGTGCCATAGTCATGTTCCAAGGCCCTGAAGATCCTATACACAAGTTTCTCCTTGTTACTATAATTTTATTATCTGTAAGTGGTTGTACAAAAGGGTTATCATTCAATATGTCAGTTTATAAGGACAATGAACCTTGATCAATGTCATCCCAGGTTTCTTTGTGCAATTAAAAATAAGCTACTTTCTAGTGTTAGAGGCATGGCCCAATGGTTAAGAATGCCTGCTTAGCATGAAAAATAAGCTACTTTAGGGCCTTATTCTATGCATATCTCAAAATGCTGCTAGAAAGCCTGAAGAAAAACAGGGGCAGTCTTCTGACTGCTTGACTTCTGCTTTTCTGCTCCTCCTTCATCTGACCTGCTGTCATGACGAAGTTTAGCCAGAGGGAAGCAACAGAGGGAAGATTTTCTTCTGTGGTTGCCAAAGGGCCTCTGTATATTTTTATATTCACTGCTTTCTTCACACATGTTCTTCTTGGATTGGGCTAGAAGCCATACCTTCAGTATAAGACAACTTCTTAGCCAGGCCAGAAGTGAAATGGTAAAAATCATGTCAGGCACAGAAAATAAGCTAACTATTGGGTAGAGTAGTAGTTACACCGTAGGTCTTCTCAGACCAATAGTGTTTTCCTTTGCCTTCTCTCTGCCTCTCCCCTTCTCTTGCTTGCTTGAGAGAGAGGAAATGGATAGCAGATGTTGTCTCTTAATGGCATAGCCTGAGGTAACTTGTGACCTACAATCTCTCCTCCAATGCCACTTTTATTGTAGTGTGCCTGAAATGTGATCTCCAAGAGCGGCTTCTCAGCCCGTCCCTGCTGCCCGGTACTGCTGATGGCACCTTGAGAATGGATGACCCCAAAGGAGAAATTAGTACACTCCACCAGATGGCTTCCCAGTCATCATCCTCTCACTATAAGCTCCAAGTGATCAAGTAGGTATGAGGGAACCTCCCCAGTCTATGCAAATGCTACTCTTTCTAGTATCTGGCTAGGAAGTCCAGAGATATTGGCTGTATTTCTAAGTATGCATCAGGCAGAGTCAGTTCCACGGTAGCAATTACTAATACAATATAAAAAATCAAGGTTGAACAATTCAGCATGTTGAGGCACAAACAGCAGATGCTCAAAGTGCTGCAGCATGAAAATTAGAAACCCAGGATATCTCTAGAGAAAAGAAAGATGAATTGAAAGGTGTTCAACCATTCAGTAAATGTTTATTGAATGCTTACTGTAGTTAGTCATCAGTACAGAATTCCAACTTTCTAGGGATTAGTGGTCTACACATTCTATTCCCATCCCTCTGTTTCTTTGAGTACTAAAATTCCTGCTTCCAGAGAAACCAAGTCTAAGTTAGAATTAATAGTGTTGGGGCTGGGAAGATGGCTCAGTGGTAGAGTGCTTGCCTTGCATGCCTGAGGCTCTGGGTTTGATTCCTCAGCACCACGTGAGCAAAAAAGAAAAAAGCCGGAGGTGGCACTGTGGCTCAAGTGGTAGAGCGCTAGCCTTGAGCTGAAGAGCTGAGGGACAGCACCCAGGCCCAGAGTTCAGGCCCCACTACCGGACCCAAAAAAAAAAAAAAAAGAATTAATAGTGTTGGCCAAAGCCATTTTTACTGCTTTCTAGTTCATAAGCATAGGACCTGTGTACAGATTCCTGAGTTTGAGAATCTTCTGCATAGCAGATTGCATGCTGGTGTTGGCCATACAATGATGGATAATTTGTACAGTGTGGGACAGTGTCATAACCAATGTGATGATTTATTAATCACAAAATAACAATAAATCTCTAGCTTTCACAAAAAAGTGGATAATTTGTAGACTCTAATCCCAAAAGCTTTCATAATAAGGTCCTAACTTTAAGCTGAATTTTGTGGATCAGTGTACAAGTTCTAGATGTCACTAAGGAGCCCTTTACTGCTTTTGTCACTTTCTAGGGCTCTAAAATCTAGCGGGCTCTGTGAGTCACTGACGTATGGACTCCCCTTCATCCTCAAACCCACGAGCTGTTGGCAGCTGGACTGGGATGAGCTGGAGACAAATCAGCAGCATTTTCATGCTCTGTGTCATAGCCTATTGGTGAGTACCCATGTTCCCATGTAAAAAAGAATGGTCAGAGACCAACTGTAGGACAGCAGCAACTAACTCTTCCTTAATCCCAGACCTGCTTCAACCCCCAAAAAAGACAGAAGAAAAACAAAAACGATTCACTCTGAAATTTGGAACAATTATGACCTGCCTTTGTTAGGTGACTCTAAAGGAGAGATCGGCACACTTTACCAGATGGCTTCCCATCATTAGCCTCACATTACAAGATCTGAGTGATCCAAAGGAACCTCCCCAATACAGGCAAATACAATTCCTACTCATCTCATAGCTAGTAATTCCAGAGACTTAGAAAATATCTCTAAGTGTAAGTCAGACAAAAGTCAGTAGGTCACCAAAAAAATGTATGTTGGGCTCCTCAGCAGGTGAAGAAAATATTTTCTGAAATCAGTTGTATAACAATAAGCTTGAAAAGTCCCTATTTTATAATAACTTAATATTTAAATGGCAATAATGAATTTTCCTTATGTAATAGTATTTTTTATTTTATTTATGGGGCACCAAGGAATTGAATCCGGGGCCTCATACATGCTACGCAAGTACTCCACCACTAAGCTGCATTCCCAGCCAGTAATAGCTTTTTTTTTTTTTTTTCGTTCATGAGGCTTTAACTCTGGGCCTGGGTGCTGTCTCTTAGATCTTCAGCTCAAGGCTAGTGCTCTTCCAATTGAGCCACAGTACCACTTCCAGTTTTCTGGTAGTTAATTGGAGATAAGAGTCCCACGGACTTTCCTGCCCCAGCTGGCTTTGATCCTCAGATCTCAGCCTCCTGAATAGCTAGGATTACAGGTATGAGTCACCAGCGCCTGGCTCAGTAATGGTATTTTAAAACCTTCCTTCCTAATCTTGTGCCAAACATTATTGTTCCTTTAAATTAAGATTCCCTAAAGGGCTGGGAATGTGGCTTAAGTAGTAGAGCACTTGCCTGACAAATGTGAAGTTCAAACCACAGTATCACACACGCACACGCGCATGCACACACACACACACACACACACACACACACATCCCTTGGTCTGTGCCAAACATCGTACTAAGTACTAGATGTGTGTTCATTGGTGATACAATAAACATTATGCCTGCAAGAAACCTGCTTTTTAATGGAAAAGGCAGACATATACACACATTGATGTTCATATATATCTGAATGAGTGATGGTTAGGACAGTATAACTCTGTCTCTTTCACTCAGAAGCAGATTATATACATAGTCTTATTCTCTTAATTGTGAGACAATTATAAAGGAAAAGAAGACTACTATAAAAAGGCCTATCTGAGACCTGTAAGATAAGTAGGAATCAGCCAGGTGACAGGGGCACTCCAGGTATGGGGAAAGGCATGTGCAAAGACCCTAAGGCTTAAAAGAACTGAGAGAATTAAGAATAGAAAAGCATTATGACTGAATTGAGCAAACAGTGAAGTTGGAAAAGTAAGCAGACATGGAATTGTGTAAAGCTTTGTAGGTCAGGTTAGAGTTTGGAGATTATTGTAAATAGGGAACAGTGAAGTTGGAAAAGTAAGCAGACATGGAATTGTGTAAAGCTTTGTAGGTCAGGTTAGAGTTTGGAGATTATTATAAATAGGGAACAGAATCAGAAAAAGTAATATTTAGCTGGGCGTCGGTGGCTCATGCCTGTAATCCTAGCTACTCAAGAGGCTGAGATCTGAGGATCCCAGTTCAAAGCCAGCCCGGCAGGAAAGCCTGAGAGACTCTTACCTCCAGTAAACCACTCAGAAACCAGAAATGGCGCTGTGGTAGAATGCTTGCCTTAAGCTGAAGAGCTGAGGGATAAGCCCAGGCCCAGAGTTCAAGCCCCACAACCCATAATAATAATAATAATAATAATAATAATAATAACATTATTACTGTTTTAAATTTTAAAATATTACTTGAGCAGACATTTGTAAGTGAAGCAACAAAAGCAAGATTTCAAACAGGAGAAGAAGGTAGGATGGAACTGTAGTAGTGTAGGCTGGAGAAAATGGTGCTTGGGCTAGAATGTCAAAGTCAATTGAGAAAAATAAACCAATAGAGAAATGTTTTAGATACAGAATCATTGGAACATGGCAAAATAGTGGATAGAGAGAGTAAGGTAAAGTATCAAATAACGGTTTTCGTTTCTGACCTGAACAAGTTAGAGGTCATTCCCTGAAATGGAAACAAAAGAGCACACACACACACACACACACACACACA